CCTCAAGGATCCTTCCCGACTTTTTCTGATAGATATGGGACTTTAAATTTTTTTAAAGAATTTTGGTCTTTTTACTATGGCAGAACTTCGTTTTGAAGAATTTTTGAAGTCTGGTATATTTTTTTAGCTTTTTTCAGAGATAGCGCTTTTTTTCACATAACTCCAGTAGCTTACGTCTGGTTGAAAAGAACTTTGCTTTTTTGAAAAGATAACACTACTCGACAAAATTGAACTTTTTATTTAGGCTGTGAACCAAAATGACTTTTTCTGATAGATTTCGGGATTTAAAAATTGTTGTAGTACTTTATTATTTTTTTAATGGTGTAATTTTTTTTTAAAGAATTTTTAAAATCTGGTATTTTTTTCATGGTTTTTTTCAGAGGTTGTGCTTCTATTTTTCACATAACTAAAGTATCTTATATCTGGTTGCATAGACCTTTGCAGTCCTGAAAAGCTATAAATCCGACCCAGACCTATTGTATCTGCAGCTTAACGCCTGAAAGATATTAAGCTTTCAAATTCAAATTTCATTATTTTATGCGGTATTTTTTTCGAAATTTTGATTTTAAAAACTCGGGAAAAGTCGAAAACAAAATGATTCTTGTCCAACATTTTTAGTTTTAGATAGACGCATTAATTAGGCGTGGTTTAAGGTATTGTTCATTAAAATCTATGGATAAACGGTGGAGCTAAAATTCGTTAACCAAACCTCAAAAGTGAAAAAATAGACAAAAAATACTTTTTACCAAAAATTCAACCCCTTCTCGTTCGCTTTGTTCCCAATTGGCAGTTGGGCCCGCAACCTTCCAAAAAATAGAGGTCACAGGATATAATTTTTTTTCGACTTTTCCCGAGTTTTTAAAGTCAAAATTTCGAAAAAAAAAAATACCGCAAAAATTGATGAAATTTGAATTTGAAAGCTTAATATCTTCAAGGCGTTAAGCTGCAGATACAAAGCGTCTGAGTCGGATTTATAGCTGCGTTTGTCAGCAACTGCAAAGATCTATGCAACCAGATATAAGATACTTAAGATATGGGCAGTTCCGCCAAAAGGTCCACCAGGCCAAAAATCATAAAAAGTCAATAAAAACCGATTTCTATATAATTTTTTCCGGATATTTTTTTCTAAATTTATTGAAAGGTAACTAATTTACTTTATTCACATATAATTTCATTAACTTTCATCCTAAAACCTATGAAAATAAGTAAAAATTCACGTTTTTGGTATTTTCTGGTATTTTTATAGACATGTTTTCTTTTACTATTATCTCCTAGGAAGAAGATGATTCTTGATAAAAGTTTCTCCTTAAAGTCTTTCTAATATATTAAACTACCTAAACCCATTATCAGAACGTTGGTCGAACCTTGGCTAACAGGTATATTTTTAGGCTTTTATAATCGCGGAATTTGGTAACGTAACGCCAGTAACGTTCGCCAGATGCCTCCGCGGATTTTTAACAAAAAAAGAGGAAAAGTTTTTACATTTAATAAGTTTGAAAATTAACTCTCAATACTTCATTTATTAGCACAAAAAATGTTATTCAGATAGCCCTATCCAATTCGCAGAGTTTTGCCATTTTGTACCCCAACCTCGAAAACCACTTCTGTTTTATGTAACGCACTTTTAGGTCATACTTTGGCTTATATCTTTAAAACCGTACGCTCGATTATTGCCATTTTTCTGGTGAATATAGGTCTAACCAAATTATATTCAACGAGGATAATATTTTTTCCAAATTTCAGTTTTTTGACTATTTTTTTCAACATTTTGTCATACGAATGTAACGTAACGCCAGATAGGAACTGCCCATATGTGAAAAATAAAAGCACTACCTCTGAAAAAACACAAAAAAAAACAGATTTTATAAAATTCTTTAAAAAAAACTACACTATAAAAAAAAACATAATTCGTTAAAAATTTGTAAGCCCCGAAATCTATAAGAATCTATATTTTGGGCCACAGCCTAATTCTAGTGATGACTAGTGTATCTAAAACAGAAAGAAGTTATGCCCAAACACTTGGTGATTTCAGCTTACCGTCTGGGAAATATAAAGCGTTGAAATGCAAAAATTATAACTTTTGTGCGGTATTTTTTACGAAATTTTGACTTTAAAAACTCAGGAAAAGTCGAACAAAAAATACCTTTTGGAAGGTTGCGGACCCAACTTCCAATTGGGAATAAAGCAAACGAAAAAGGGTTGTAGATTTGGTACCTGATCGCGTTCCTTTGTTCCCAATTGGCAGTTGGGCCCACAACCTTCCAACAGGTATTTTTGTTCATTTTTTAAGTTTGGTTAACGAATTTTATCTCCAAAGTTTCTGGAGCAACTGAAAATTAATTTCTTCGTTCTGGCTATAATTATGATCCGATCTGATTCAGATTCGGCAATCTGGTAGATATGGGCATTCTCTACGATACTGCGTTTTTAGTTTATCTTTGTATCTTTAAAATTGTGCATACCACAGATTTTCGTCCTTTGTGTGGGCGGAAGGGACGGGGTGAAATTTTGAAAACCACTTGTAGCAGTGTGATATCACATGAGTGTGGAAACCAAATTTGGTTTCTCTAGCTCTTATAGCCTCTGAGATCTAGGCGCTCATCGAGACTGATGTATACCTGAATCTACTGAATATACTTCTCTGTAATTTTCTCCTTGTCTCCATATTCTTCAAGCAACAAACTAATAGTATCTTTATAACAAGACTCAGTTAGAATAACTCCAGACATAGGCGCTGCTGCCGCATTAGTAAGGGAATCATTCAAATAGTGAAATTGAACTTGAACTGGGACTAAAAAGGTAGTCAATTTTCTAAAGCTCCATCGAACTATCGTAAATCGATTCGCTTAAGCTTAGCAACTTGCACGTGGCTTTCTTCGGATCTCGTGTTTTGTGCTCTATTTTTTTATCTCTGACTGCCTCTCCCTTTTGAGAGATTCCGCTAAACGTTTTATCAAGAATTCCACTTTGGCAACTGTACTTACAGATTTCTTGTCGTATTCAAGCATTATTTCATAATCTCTCTCTTTCTGCGATTCTTGTACGGGCCCGCTTAAAGCTAGCTCGTCAGCCTTTTTTAAATTTATTATGAGCGTTTTTTAGTCGATGTAAGAATATGCTCAAATTTTCATCGTTTGTGGACTCGCTCACTAGGTATTTGTCAATTTGGATGCACAAATTTTTAAGCTGTGTTCGGCAAGATGATCGGTAGGTGGGATCCATCGCTGTAATATTGGTTTTCGCTGGTTTTTTATTGAATTAAGTTTTTTGATCGCTGTTTATGTTGTTCGCCTCGCTGAACAATTTGTATGAGTAATTCGCTAGTACACGCCAGTAAGATATTTTAAAGTAGAATAGAATAGAATACCGACAGTTGCCACTTTCCCGGGTTTCGGCACCATGTGGAAAATATTTTAGACTGAATGAAAAAATCGAGACGGGGTTTATTACTATATTATCAGGGGTGCCACAGAAATCACTAGTGAAATGGGAATCCGCGCCGTTTCCGCCGTGCCACAGAATTCCGAGCGATTTAATTTTTCTTAGCATTGTCACAAACCAAATTCGAACTAAGGCTAGGGTTGACACCTTTCAAGATTCAATTCGAATAGGGTTAATTTTGCAGTTTTATGGATTTTATCATATCAAAATTTTATCATTTTCAAAGCTGTACTTTTATAATTTCAAAGCAAAAAAACACCCCTTATCGTGCGAGTCAAACAAAACAATGTACTCGGCAACTCTCCGTGCATGACAGCAATCAGCTGTTAAAAAAAAAGACATCTGCATTTTACGGTAAACTTAATTAAAATGCTTTTACCGGGACTGTTGGCCATCGAAGAACTACGGAGGCAGCGCAGGCTTCTCAGATGAGCTTCGGACTCGTTTTCGCGTTCAGATTGTCTTTTGTGATTGTCTTCTATAACTACTGCTAATTTAGTTGATTACAATTAGAAGTTTTTGGTATAATGATCGCTTTGCTTCTATTTGTGCTGCCATGGGTCTGCACTTAGCCGAACAGGGGTTTTTGACATAAATGCAATGGAAATAATGTGTAGAAATGGTTTGTTAGTTCTGTTTTGGCATTTTGAAGCGATGCCACCTGGTAGAACTACAAATGACTACACATGTTTTCACAATTTGCACAAAAAGTATGCACACGTTTGAGGTAAGGGAAGTTTTACTACAATGAGCTATTTTTTGTAATGCTTAATTTAAGAAAAACAGAATGCTTTCAATATAATTAATATTTTATATCTTGCTCCGAATTTGGCTTAAAAAGGGTAGCATTACTGTATTGTAAGGACCTATCTCAGGCTGGGATAGGCGTCAGTCTGTCCAGGGTCCTGAATTACAAGTTATTTATAATTCGCAAGACTTTATTTGCAAAACTAGGAACTCGGCCAGCAACTGAAATAGAATGGTAGATTAAAATACCATAACCGAAGCTCACAGCAACCAGCGCTATTTAGTACTATACCTAGCTATTAGTTTGTAACTTTAACCTCACTGTCTATTAATAAATAAATAAATAATCTTAGTACAGACAAAAATATCATAATTTTACTTTTAAATATACACACATGTTGTAATCAAAAAAATTAATATTACGATACAGAAATTAAAATTATATTTTTTAATTTTGGCCCAATTCTATAGTCGATCCCTAGTAACCGCTGTATAAGTCTCGACAATTTATACATTATGGCCACACTTCTCACTAAGGGGGGAGGAGTTACGGTAATAATTACGCTCGCTTAAATACATCTGGATACATAAGTCGCGCGCATGTTGAGGATCGGATTTCTCCTCTTCACAGCTGCCGGCTGCGCATCCGCTAGTTCGGATATCGCTTGCCTCTAAGCTGGAGTGATGCACTGCAACTCGTGTTAACTGGTACAACATAACATTGCTCTCGTAAAAAGTACACAACCAATGTAGCACAGAGTGATTTGCGCTAGACACGCTTTAAGTAAGCCTAAGAAAAAAAAAGCAAAAATTTTAGTAAATGTTTCAGAGATCTTTAATCTTTATTAATTTTTTGTTTCTTCTTTTATGGTTAGATAGTTTTTGCATTTCCTTTTCGTCAGGAATTCAAAGTTGATCTTGAAACAAGGTTTGTAAAGCTGAAATTCAAATATATTATGAAATATGAAAGTAAGATTAAAATTAAAACTGATTAATAGCTTACAGAAAAACATATGTATGATATTTGGAACGTGAAAAGTTGACATTATAAAATAAGACTAGAATCGAATTTAAGCTGTTTGACGCCCTTAAGACCTCTAGCAAAATATTAATACCGTAGAATTATTTTATTGACGATGTTGATGATTTTTTTTTTATAGAATTGAGGCCGTTTGCGTGTAGTCGTTGCTTACGAAACTTTGAATGCATATGCTCACAAGTGTCGGCGCGGCGCAGAACGTCCGCGTACGACAGATCAAGTTTTTTAAGCTTGTGCAGTTCTTGTGAAACAGTATTATGATAAAACTCAATTCCATTCAGCTCTATAACACGACCACTAGCAGATTGAGATGTATTAATATTTCGGTTATAGATTACCACTTGGGAACCATTCCAATTGTTATACAAATCTGAGGCCCGCTTGCGAACATCGCGTCCAAGGCCATAGAAATCCGTATTGAATTTTTCAGAAGATTTTGGAGTAAAGTTTACATTATCATAATGGTCACCATTGCTAGAACTTCTCTTGTCTATGTCATCCCATAATTTTCGCTCAAAACGATCTCCAAATGTGGATAGATTTCGATGCTTCCGACGGTTTTTTTTTTTATTCCAACACCCACAGTTAAATATTCTAGTGGTTCTCGCTTAATTGGAGTGAAAATCCGTCCATTTTCTTCAATAGGATGAATTTTTGTTTCACATACAGATGATTTTTTCTTGGACATATTAAGCTGCGAATTAGATGCTTCTTTGATCATTGGTGACTTGTTTTGATAACTTCTTAAATCATTTAAGTGCTTTTTAGCTGTCTTGCGTTCTATTTTTGTGATACACTCTGATATGGCTATCGAATGATTAGATGTAAGAGATGACGCTATGCTTTGAGTTTCATCAATAAATCGCTCCAGTTGTTCTTCGATTACAGGGGTTACTGGAGATATTATATCCGTTTTTGATGAGACTCGATTTACAGTATGAGATTCTTCTTCTAGCAATGGCAATTTTTCGCCTACTTCATTATTCTGGGCGGCTTTCTTAAGCACTCCAAATATTTCTTTAAACAGTTCTCTGTACTCAGGGCGGTGACGAAAATGGGAGTCTATCGGACTTACATCGTCGTAAATACTAAATTTACAGTCCTTTCCATCACTAATTGAGCATAGAAAGTAACCCGGGCGCTCATCGGTTTGCGTGTGCTTATTGCTTGTGTCATCTGAATAACCCGATGACGAAGTTTCAACTTCTGACAGCTCAGTTGAAGTCCGTCCTAGTCCATCGTTCGTTTGTTTTGATTTATCAACCACTATTCCATCCTCTTTGTTCGCATTTATTCCAACAGGTTCCAGGTTCAAAATACTTGGACTACATTTTTTTGGCTTGTCATTGTCTTTGTCGGTACCAAAAATGTTCATGGCGGCAATGGAAGTCCTCTGGACCTCCACTAAAGCCTCATATTTCTGGACCAAGTCACGATATGGATTTGAGTTATCGATGGGATTTAGTGATTTGGGATTAAGTGAGTCCCGAAAACGTTCCTAAAAATAGAAATAAATAAAATCTGTTTACAAATGCTTAAAAAAAATTATTGTTTTTGTAAATTTTCGGTATCTATCTTACAATTTTTAATATTTAGTGTCGTTTTGTATAGGGCTGTAATTTCAGGGCTGCCAGGGGTTAACAAGACATTTTTATAGAAGGACCTTTGATGTGGTGCAGGCGCGTCCTGTGACTTTTGGAGCGATAGGTAGTAGCCAGACAGCACACTACGACTGATGGACTAAGCGTGAGACTGTACCCGTATATACGTGTTTCGGTAGGAACCAAAGAGCACACCTTGCTTGCTGAACTAAACGTGGGTCGTGCACCTCTGTCAGTGTGTATCGTTAGGAACCAGAGGGCACAACTTGATTGCTGAACTAAACCTGGGGTCGTGCACCTCTGACAGGGTGTAGGTAGGAACCAGAAAGTACTCTTAACTAGTAGACTAAATGCGGAACTGTACTCGTGCAAGTGTGCCTCGGTAGAACCATAGAGCACAACTGTACATGCGTGCTGCGGGTTGGTGACACGTTTCAATTGGACGGGGACCTGAATCCGTCTTGCGACGATCGAAGTGAATCGGTAAGGACCATTAAGCACTTCGACCGCGGCTTAAAGGATAGCGAGGACGTTAGTGAGGGACTCTGAAACGGGGCTGATACACGTGAGTGTACGTGCGCAGCCCTAACTCTTGGGGTTAGAATATACGAAATTTTTCAATGTATGATCTCACTTTATTCGTACAGTATAGGTATGATCTCTATGCTGCACCAGATTTTCTATGTCTTCTGCTTACCAACTCTTACTTTCAAAGGTTGATCTCTACTTCGAATTCCAGGCCCCATTTATTCTCTTTTTCCATGCCGAAACATCGTCTCGAGGCGATCGGCGCGATCTTCGCTGATAGGATGAGCTAGTTTAATTGGTAGTACTGACTGTTATTATCTCCGCTCCCATCTCTGAAATGTCTGCCGTGATTTCGTATTTTTGTTCGTTGTATACTCGACCGAAACGAGCCCGTTTTGCTGAGGCTCCGTGGCTACGCTGGACATCTGACACTAGCCGTTTCAGCAACATGCGTCCTGGTACACCCTCCAATGTAGGTATTCCGTCTGGTATTCCGATCCCAGGTTCGTCAGTTACCGTATCAAGTGGTAGATATTTATTTCCGGTCTCGGGACTGACGACGGGTGTTATATGACTGGCGCTGTGTGTGAGACGCTTGACAACGGGAAAGAGGCAATTGGCGTCGGTCACCAATCGTTAGCCCTTGGTGCGGCATTCTGGGCGGTGAAGGTCGTCGTCGTCTGGTCGGTGTCCTCTGCGACGATAAAGCTGTCCATTCTTTATCGTGTAATCTGGATTCTCCTCCGGCGATGCCCTTACTGCCCGCGACTTTGCCGACCATTACTTAAAAGAATCTGGTTCCTCTTCCGGCCTATGTAGGATCGGCAGTGGCTGTCGGATAGGGCGTCGGCTACGGTTCAGCGAGACTTGATTCTCCCAGGCTTATCCATTTTCATTACTTGCTCGTATATTCCACCTTCACTGGATATAATATATAGTAATATACGAGCATCACCTGTCCGCTTTAAAAACTGTTTCTTCCTCGCTATCAGATAAAGACAACATGATAGTTCTTGGTGATTTCAATTTTCCAGGTACTGTTTGTTCTTCGGTAAACGAATCTAATAATCTTGTGCCCATGTCACGACATGACTTTATCGACGGCTTGCTAGACCTATCCCTGTCTCAAGTCAACCATGTGAAAAATTCCTTGGGTCGATTGCCTGATCTGTACTTTGTCTCGGATCCGACCATAGCGTTACTAAACCGAGCCCTTCCGATCACTATACCTGAAGACTCCTACCATCCTACATTCGAAGTGTTGGTCGATATTGGGCCTACTGTATTGGATCGAACGGGTAGGCTATCTGAACGTGTCCGCTGCTTTCGTAAAGCCAAGTTTACGAAAATTAATAACCTCATTAGTGGTTTTGATTGGTCCGCTCTGTACTTGTGCACTGACGTTATGAAAGGCACAAACATTTTTTATAATGTACTTGACACATTTTTTGATTTGCAACATCTCTGCAAATCACTTATGTATACCTCCATCTCAGCACGCATATATAAGGCGACGATCAAAAACCACAAATTTATTATAGTTTACATCTTTTATCATTAAATGCTTCCAAGGTAAATTACAGCTGCGGATGTTATATACACTGATTTCAATAAAGCATTCGACTCTGTAATTCACTCCCTTCTAGCACAAAAACTTGACCTTTTAGGGTTTCCGACCAATCTTTGAAGATAGATTTCTAGCTACCTTTGTTCTAGGGCTCAAAGAGTCCTCTTCAAAAACCTTTTCTCTTCACCTGCTAAGGTTACCACAGGGCAGCCAATTAGGCACTCTGTTAATGACCTGCCTTCAGTATTAACAAAACTCTCGAGTTATCAAGATGTTAATCTCTGTGTCCAGTATAACGACATTTCATTTCACTCTCGCTTGCAATCCGGATGTGCAAATATGTTACACCTAAATGCCTCGAAATGCAAACTAATGAAATTTCATCGCTACAGCCCCTTTTTAACTCCTTACACCCTATGCGGTGGTTATCTTGAGAGTATTACCTTGGTTGATGATCTTGGTGTTAATCTAGACCCCAAGTTAAAGTTTTCTGAACAGATTTCTACCATGGTAAATAGGGCATTGGGCGTGCTTGGGTTTATAAAGAGGTGGTCAAAGGAATTTTACGGCCCCTATATAACGAAGACTCTCTATATCTCGCTTGTTCGTCCGATTTTAGAGTATGGCTCTTGTGTATGGTGCCCCCAGTACAAAGTACACCAGGACCGTATAGAATCAGTCCAGAAAAACTTTTTAATATTTGCGCTGCGTGGCCTTAACTGGGATGCAGGTGTGAGACTGGCATCTTATATTCATTTTAATAAACCTTCCAACCTTAGTTAGTCGTAGAAAAATGCTTGGTGTGATTTTTATACACAACCTGATCAAGGGTGACGTAGATAGCCCTAACTTGTTGACCTGCATAAACTTCACGATTCCTATTAGATCCAGTAGAAACTATATTCCTTTGTTCCTTCCACTTTGTATATAGAATTTGTATGCTCGTACTATAAATCCCTCTACCATATAATATCCACAAATTATAACATACCCTTCCCGTATTTAGTACTATTTCTTAGCTATCTTTGCATGTTTAGCTCTTTTAGTTGTATTTAGCTCTAATTTTCCTCGAATATTAGTCTAACCCCTATCTTTCCTGCATGTTCGCAATCGGTTCGGTCACACGCGTGGAGCGTCATGCGGCTGCGCCGCTCGGTCGGTAGGGCTGGAGTAGGGGTTATACTTCTGCCTGGGTTTCGCGCGTAACAGGCTCCGGCTTCGTGTCGCATGGGCCACTTGATGGTCATTGCAATATCAACGTCCAGACAATATCCGGTGGGCCTGGAAGTCTGTTTACTGGTGGAATATAAAAACGAGAAGGAACGTGTGAGTCGCATATATGGACGCGACACTACTTTTATACCCGTACTCACTCAGTATATAAATTTGTAAGCTTATGATTATGAAAAAATTTAAAGTTTTTTTTCTACATCTGTTATCTACATCCACAATGTTGATTCCACATATAAAATCTCCGCAAAAGGTCGGGCAGAGTGTGTGCGAGCGAGAAGGAGAATCAGTAGCGTAGTCTTTTGCTCGAGGAGGTAACCGAAAATTAATTTCTTTATTCTGGCTATAATAATGATCCGATTTGATTCGGCAATCTGGTAGATATGGTCATTCTAAACGATACTGCGTTTTTAGCTATATCGTATCTTCAAAGGTGTGGCTGCCACAGATTTTCGTCCTTTGGGAGGACGGAAGGGGGCGGGGCGAAATTTTGAAAAACACTTGTAGCAGTGTGATATCACATGAGTCTGGGAACCAAATTTGGTTGCACTAGCTCCTATAGTCTCTGAGATCTAGGCGCTCATCAAGACGGACAGACGGACATGGCTATATCGACTCGGCTATTGATGCTGATCAAGAATATATATACTTTATGGAGTCGGAAACGTTTTCTTCTCTGCGTTACACACATCCACTTTTACCACAAATCTAATATACCCCTTGACTCTTTTTGAGTACGGGTATAAAAAGTAAAGCTAAAATCTTCTGAGAGCTTTCAAAACTTCTGCACGTAATTTGGTATTTGTTATTAACTGAAAACAAATATTCAGAGTATGAAAAAGTTCTTAATTTTTTCGATAATGTGAATAATATAATATTTTTTCACGGTACTCTTAGGTAGGCGGCTTTTTAAGCTTCTGGCCTAACTATGAAAAACACAACTTAGGCGTCTGAAAATTTATTTTGAACAACATTCTCCAGGAATATATACTCTTTTCTGAAACATTTGAACCTATTTCCACAACCCATTTGGCACTCAGAAAAAGTATCTATAAAACAGGCCTTAATCAGCGATTTTTTGTTTTAAAACATGATTCATGATTCGTCCCTGTATAGATGTTAAACACACATTTTAAGCACCACGATCGTAGTTTTGAAAAACTTAAAATTTTTAAATATTATGTGTTCTTACGCTAACACACCTTTTTTTTACCACGAGGTGATCATGGTTAAATTGATTACATACTAATGCCTAAGGATACCTCAATCTCACAGTATGTGACAAGACGATCTTGCTCAATCATTTCGCGCAAGGTTAAAATAGTCTTTATTCCCAAGGAAGGGAAAGCCTCACACACAACCCCAAAAGACTTCAGATCAGTAAGTCTATCGTCCCTTCTTTTCAAAACCTTTGAGAGAGACTAGTCGGGCTACAGCTGAGAACAACCATAAACCCTCAGTGGCTGTCAGGCACAACATGCCTACCGAAAAGGTAAATCCACGGAAACGGCAATCCATGAAGTAATCTCGGCGGTAGAGAAATCCATAAACGTAAAAGAATACTCCTTAATAGCTTTCCTCGACATCGAGGGAGCTTTTAAAAACGTCATACCAAGGGCCATCACGGAGGCCCTGACTGACCTGCGAGTGGATCGTCACTTGGTAATGCTCATAGATCAATTGCTCACATGCAGTACGGTGACATCATCAATGGGATCGTCCACTCAGTCAAGGTATGCCAACAGAGGCACCGCGCAAGGTGGTGTCCTGTCTCCCCTTCTATGGAACATAGCAGTCAACAAGATTCTGTGTGACCTGGAAGGGGAGGGCTGCAAGGTGGTAGCATACGCGGACGACGTTGCCATTGTCTTCTCGGGAAAATTCCCTCAAACACTCTGCGATCTAATGACCGCAAAGCTCGCGCGACTGTCAGAATGGACAAAGTCGCGTGGACTGGAAGTTAATCCCTCTAAAACGGAACTTGTGTTGTTTACAACCAAATACAAAATCCCGTCTCTCAACCCGCCAATACTAAACGGATGCAGGCTCTCCTTCAGCGACAGTGCCAGTTACTTAGGGTTGGTAATTGTCAAGAAGCTTAGCTGGAATCTGAACATCAAAGATAGAGTACAGAAGGAAATGGGGCAGGGACCCAAGCAAAGTCCACTGGATATACCTAGCAATAGTTAGACCAATACTGCTTTACGGAGTCGCAGTGTGGTGGCCTGCCCTATCAAAAATAACCATTACCACACCAAATGATGCGCTTAATGCTATCTTATGCCTTCAGAGCCTTGACCTTGCAGGTAGGGAGCAGGCTGAAATGGTAGCAATTCGTCTGAGAGACTCCGACCAATGTGTGTCACAGAACATCGGTCACGCATACATCTTCAATGGAAATAATATCGTCCCTACAAAAACGGACTCTTACGTTGTGAGGGAGGGGCAATAACACCAGGACATTAAAGGCAACTGTAAAGCAGATGAGATGGCTAGAACAGGTACAACAATCCCCCTTCTCCAAGATAAGGAGGATATTCGTATGCCAATGGCCACCTGTAAGCTCATAATGTAAAAGCTCTTTAAGCTACTAATAGACAATAGATGGACCCATGCAAACAGCCTGGGTGCCGCCTAGAACGACTTCTGTCGTAGTTGCAGAGATGAAGACGAGGGGAGGAAACGGTGGAACATCTGTTCTGCTCCTGTCCGGCTCTCAGTAGAAGGAGACTTCAATACTTGGGGTCACCTTTCATAAATGACATTTCAGACATCTCCATAATGAGTCCCAGAAGGATCGCAAACTTCATAAGGGCATCCGAATGGGACAATTGCTGACATAGTGCCTCACAAGGGAAGAGGACATGATCTATGCGGTGATCTATTTATCGTTAATCGATATCAAACGAGGTCGTACATGAAAAAGTTGTTTGTTTAATTTATAAAACTCCAAGCTTTTTTATGCAACTGACCATTTGGTCCTTTGACCTAGTCCGGAAACATATACATATAACATCCCTCTTATGCGAGGCGTTTAGACCACAGCCGCATCTTTTTTCGCATAATTTTTCAGCTTTGTTGTTATTGTTTGATGCGACAAAAACAGCTGTTTGCTATTGTAACGAACCATGGATCCCATGGTTCGTCACAAGCAGATGACGCAGCCAACGCTACTCCCAGGTGAAGCGATCAACACCCAGCAAAAATGCAAGCTCAGCACACGCCAAAAGACAGGAGACCAGCACAAGGGGCTTACGCAATAAGTACCCATAATAATATTAAATAAATAAATATTCCTATCAATATATATTCCCGAAGTGCCAACGAAATTCCTTTCCCACGGTACCGGTGCACACCGATCACCTTACCTGGGACATTGGACACTTGTTGGCAGGCGATTGCTTAGGTAACCCTCGATTACCGGGCAGACCCCCCACATGCGCGAGCAGTCTCCGACTTCCTTACCGGGAATATTGGACACTGACTGTAGGGCTAATGATTAGGTAACCTTCTGTTACCGATCAGCCCGTCTGCACGCGCAGACTATAATTCGGCAATATATATTTATGTAAGAACCCTTCCCACATTCTGGAGTAGAAATAAGATATCTGTAAGACATTCATGGGAAAATCGAAGGCCGGCCGATCTATAAAAGGCACTTTCTTGCATGAAGAAAAGGCAGTCCACCAGCCATCTTTGGAAGCAGTCCACCAGCCATCGTAGGCGGCAGTCAAACCACCATACGCGTCGTCAAACAATGAAACATAACATAACCGGGTAGAATAATAATACGGAAGAATAAAGAAACCCATTAAAATTAAAAGAACCAAAAAGTGTTGTGATTTCTATTTCAGTTGCTAGCAAAGTTCCTGGTTTTCCCGATAAAGTCCTCGTGAATTATAAATAACTTGTAATTCAGGACCCTGGACAGACTTAGAGATAGGAGATAGGACATTACACTATCGATATCCCATCGATACCCGTCGATAGCCCGAATAATTTCAGTATTTAGGCTTTCTCCAGCACCAGGAATTTGCTAGTTATTCCGTGAGGGTGTGGAACATAGCTAAACAAGGTTGATGAATCAGCTGTGTTTTGTAAACAGAGCCAATAGTGAAATTCAACTGAAATTAAAAAAGGAAAAAAAATGTACTTTGACATTGAAGTGATTGTGTTGGTGGCGGCATATATTGTTGCAAAACAAAAAAGAATAATTTGCATCTTTCTTTTTGGTTTTGCGCACAGTTTTTTGCCTACATCTTGCACCATTCACTCCAGGAAGAATTGTAAAGTATATATTCCTGAGCTGTGCATCAGCTGTTCTCGCAGTCCACACACGGGCCCGATAGGCAACTATCGATATAAATCTGTGGATTCCGCTCGTGTTGCTGGATACACACTCCAGGAAAACGTAAACGAACAATTCCTGCCACAGTTTTTTTTATATGGAGTTCGAAAGGAATTTTTAGATTCCGCGGTGCTGGATACTATGCTTTTTGTAAAAATACTAGACAGAATACAGCAACACTTGCCAATGATGTATTTGTATTTTTTGTATGATGCGGCCGCATCATTTTCTTCTTCTATCCACAGGGCCCTTATGGGCATCATTGTCGCATGTTCCATTTAACGGAAAAATCCAATGATGCGGCGCAATGTAAAAAGGGTATAATACCCTACACTTTTACATTCCAATCGCTTATGGGGGTCTTTTATTAATATCAGGGAAATTTCGGCCGGAACAGCGATATTAAAGGAAAACAAAAATACACCACGTTGTATGTATAAAATAATTTTACCTTATAAGAACATCCAGGTGGAAAGTTGGAAAATTGAGATATTTCGTTGGTAACAAGCTCTATTTCACATTGATTTTCCAAATCAGTCATATTATGTTCGTCGTCTTCATAAATTTCTTCAATCTGATCGACGGAAGATTGTTCGTCGATGTTTGTTGTACGTCCATCTATAGCACCCAAGCAGCGACTGCACATTTGCCCCTGTCTGAAACATCTCAATACATCATAATTATATTTTTCTCTTATTATTAAGTACCTACCTTACGTCGTCTAAAAGAGAGAACTCCTCATGCATGGACATCATTTCTTCCTTGGCATTATTTTGAGCAAGACGAGTTTGAAGACCTTGGTTCTCTTGTACTGATTACATTTAAAAAAAAATTGGTTTAAAAAAAGGAAGAAGCTTAAATTAAATACAGAATTCACTTATTTTTTACATAAAGTACAGCAAAAATAAGTAACTTAAACTATTAGCTTCGGGCAGTATTGCCATTTTAACATATTGATGGCTATATTTAACGTTTCTCAAATGGTGCAACGACCATGTAAAATAGGCGTTACATTTCTCAGCAGTGCGGGACCAGCACTAGACATATAGATAAGACTTTAGTCTTATCTTTTCCTAGGATAGTTGCATGTTTAGTAAGCCATAAGTATACCAACTAAGAATAACCGAATTTCATACATAAATACACTATTAATTGATAAGAACTGCTGCACACTTTCACTCACCACCGCGCGATACTTCACAAAGCGACCACCAATCCCACACACGTATTCATTAGCTACCGATGGACGGCCGCAAGGTTTCGAGCATATGAGCTAGGAAAACTAACGACACTTACGCGAGAGCTCGACCCGGAGATATTATCTGTGCCCTTGAAAACAATGGGATAAAGATCCCAACTCTCAACTCAACTCCTCTCTATCTACCTGACCAATTAAGCTGACTCGTCCTCCAATCCGACCCCCACACAGATGTGTTACGCTCTGTCCCCCTCCCTCGATCCCACGCAAGCCGGCCCTTTCCTTAGAGTCAACAGAAAACTACAAATTTATTGTAGAAGGACTCTGGACCCAGACTGAGCTTACATCAGCCTGTAATAGGTACGTTACCATGGAACCATCTATTTGCTTTTCAGAATGGGGCAAAGTTCTTTACAACCATATGTAATATACTTAAGTTATGTGAAAAAACGAAACGCTACCTCTGAAAAAAGCATAAGCAAACAATAACAGTTTTCAAATATTAAAAAAAAATAGTTTTGCAATAGAAAAAAAAAAAAAGCAGTTCTTTAAAAAGAACTTAAAGCCCCAAATCTATCAGAAAGAGCCGGTTTGGTTTCTTGACGAAAAAAATGTTCGATTTTGTCGAGTAGTGTTATCTGCAGTTCGTGGGAATAGAATGAGAGCCGTACAAAAAAAAAATAATACAAATTAATCTGGTACTAAAAAAAATGACAATATAATGCAATTCGAACCATTGAAAGGCGCTGATAGGCACCGTGGATCCAGATAGGTCCCATCCCGGGTCCGAAATCGGTGGTGAATGGGCTCACAAGCCATTGGGCAAGTGACTAAGCATCACTGCAACATCCCAACTTTCTGGTATAGTAAACCCGAAACGTAAGCATATGCGAAAAGAGGAGTGCTGGGCTTATAATCCATCTCCAGGATGAGAGCCCGGTTGGCAGCCCATCAGCTCTCTGGCTGATAAAGGTTGAGTGGGCCTTTGTAGTGCACCCCAACTTTAACGCGGAAACGAAGAAAGAGAATCCTTAGCCAGAAAAGCCCCGCTAACAAGAGCTGGGCAGTTGCAGATGAGATACTCCAGGGTTTCGATAGCCCCGGCTCCATCGCATTTCCTGCAGTAGCCACTGTGCCCAATTCAACTGCATGTGCTGCAGCCAGACAGTGACTTGTGAGTATTCGCACTAACATTCTGCATTCCCTTCATGGTAGGTGCAGTAAGTACTGACTGAGTTTTCCATTGCACACATGCTTTTCGAAATTTGGTAGGTGGTGCTCCTTCACCTGCTTCTGGCCTTTATGTCGGCCCGTCTCTCTAAATCGCTTTGTAGGTTGGCTCCCCCGAGAAATATCATACGGTATGTGCCTTCGGGCCACATGGATCGCGAGAAGGGTCATACACGGACTGGGATGTCAGACCAAACGTCGGTGGAAGGCCTGACTGCTAACACCGACTGGCACGGAGAGGAGCAATCCTCTCTGCGTGTCGCCAGCGGTCACACCTCGGATATGGCGGGAGCAAGACATATCAGTTACAATTCTACTGCCAAGAAACTGACTCACTCCAAGCTGAGCCGTATAGGTGCCGGAGTCGAGACTCGGACCTGGAGAGCGTGCTCTCGGTTTGCAAGATAGAGGAAGACAGCCATCTCCGATCGCCTGAACCAGGTTCGAGCTCCCTGCGTAGGGAAGGGCCGAAGCGTTCTAAAGACTGGATGAAGGCTAAGGCAAGAATGGAGGAGGACCCAACAGCCCCCATGCTCACGTTCGCTGGTGCTGGGAGGGGGACAATCTGCAGGAGGTGGACAGGGAGCTTATCCCGTCCATACCATAGGCGTCCATACTCTCTTCCATCGCAACGTGGGGGCCAATGTACAACACTCCAGATCAGAAAGGAGGCGGAGGATCTGCTCTACCCCAGGGTAGCGTTAACCTGCCCCTCAAGAAGCGCCACGCCGAGGACAAGGACGCGCACACCCTGCAGGCAGGCGACGTGGAGAAGGACCTTGATCTGGATACCATCGAGGAGGCCACTCAGGGTCTTGTGCTGGAAGACTCGGAAGAGGATGCGGACGGTGACCTCACTGTAATAGCCACACATGACGCTGAGTACTGCAGCTCAACTTGCATAAGAGTAAAGTCAGCTTAAGTACTAATGGAAGCTCACTTCCCAGGATGCCTATACCAAAGAGAAATCGGTGGAGACGGCACTTCATTCGCTAGTAGCCACCATTGAGAGAGCCCTTCACATCAAAAAGTAGTGTTTGTAGACATATCCAGAGCAATCAAAAACGTAATGTATCGCCTAGAAGTGACCAACACGCACCGAGCAATCAACCTCTGTAAATAGAACCTTCCAAGTTGTAGACTGGTGCAAACAGAGTGGGACACCGCTTCTATGGTAAAGGCATACCTCAAGGTGGGGTCCTGTCGCCCCTCCTGTGAAATCTGGTGGTCGACGACTTTATTAAGTGATTCGGGAGGAGAGCCCCAAAAAAAAACAGCTTATGAGGACGGCATAAGCATAATTATTACGGGAGTATGTCCATGTGAGTGAGTAGAAAAAGTAAGACTCAGCATCAACGAGGAACAGACGTACATCATCCTCTTTAGTAGGAGATACAAGGTATCGACATGAATCTCCAAAAAATTGGCAAAATCAGGCTGTCACCTGATCTAATGCACTGGATCTACATCTCGGTGCTGCGACCGACTCTGCTGTATGGAGTCTTAGTTTGGTGGCAGGCTACCGAAAAGAAAACATATAACAAGCGTATGGAGAGAACTCAGCGACAGGCACTGCTCTGCATCACGGGAGCGCTGAGGTCAACCCTAATAAGAGCACTCAAAACCATACTCGGAATTGAACCCCTTTACATTAGAGTGGGCTAAACAACCAACATTTTTGAATCTTAAGTCGGCCCGGTATAAGAAAGTTATGTTAAGAAACTCTAAAGCAGAGGTAATTTTTGAAAATTTTGAAATCGTTTAACGTTTGAACCTTGCGCATCGAGGTCAAAAAATTCGGTTTTGGCCACGTTAGTCAAAATTTTAGTATATATGTAAATCAAGAGTCTGTACTCTATACAAAAACCGTTGATAGTCCGTAAGTTATAAAAAATGTTCGCGTAAAAACTAAAGTTTCGTTTTTTTTGTATACCAAATGCCAAAAGAGCAAAAAGTTTAAAAAATTTTGAATTTTCGAAACGATGCTCAAAAACAAACAAGAACAAAACGAGAAGGAACGTGTGAGACGCTTCTGGGGACGCGATTCTACTTATACCCGTACTCAGTCAGTATATACATTTTTAAGCTTATGATTTTTTAAAATTTGAAAAATAATTTCTTCATTCTGATTCAGATTTGGCAATCTGGTAGATATGGTCATTCTCTACGATAAATTTAAAATTGTGCCTACCACAGATTTTCGTCTTTTGTGGTGGCGGAAGGGGCCGGGGCGAAATTTTGAAATACACTTGTAGCAGTCACATGAGTCTGGAAACCAGACTATCTCTTATAGTCTCTGAGATCTAGGCGCTCAACAAGACGGACAGACAGACAGACGGACAGACATGGGGTCGGAAACGTTTCCTTCTCTGCGTTACACACATCCACTTTTACCACAAATCTAATATTCCCCTTAATTCTTTTTGAGTACGGGTATGAAAAGTCGATAGATCTCGAATAATATTATTCGGTCGGGTATGGTTTTCTTAGAGGAATTCAAAAATTTCAGTTTTTCCCATACATAATTGTCAAAATGAAAAACTTAGAAATTCTCTTAAAAAATAACCATAATCGATCGACCGACAAAAACTTTTTACAGAAAAATTCTTTATAATTGAGGTCTATAAAATTTTTTTTCCATAATAATGTTTTTTTAATTATACTTGTAAATTCCCTTAAAAAAAACCACAGCTTTTTCACCAGTTGTTGATTCAGAGTAAAATAAGAAGTTGAGCGGATTCGATATTGTTTATCGATATTTATCGTGGCTGATGGTCGTGTTTTACTTCGCTCCTCCTAAAAAGTTGTCTTTTCTACGATTAATTGAAACTAATTGTGTTTTATTAGTGTACCCTGTGTTGTAAACCGACTGTGCAATCTGTCCACTACCTGTGCTCGTTTAGTTAGCGTATTTTTGTGTACTTATTTAAAGTCAATTTGTCCTTCTCATTTCTTCCGTGCATTCCTATTCATAGCTGTGTTGTTGTTGACATTTTCTCTATGAACTCTGAGCCGCTTTCTACTTTTATCTCCGTTCTTACCGTTCTTCCTACATACTTGCACTGACGCTCTCGGTTCGTCGCCTCTCCGTGCCCGCCTAAATCTCTGTGTTTATCTCGTCTCTCTGTGTTTAAGCTTTGATCGCTTTGATAAAGCTAACTGCGTTTCAGCGGCCACCGTCGAACGCTTGTTGTTGTTTTTGTGATCTTTGTTATTGTTTGTGCGCTTATCTGAGTGTTACAAGCGTGAGAGACAGCTTTAGCATATACACCGACTTGATTGTTACCTTTTCCCCATCTCCTTTTTTCTTTTTCTTTCGGTCTACACTCTTATAATGAGTACTTGCTGCGCCAAAAAGTGCCGCTCGGTAGCCGTAAAGCAAA